TGTAGTGAATGGTGCGCAAGTATTGTAAGGAACGCCGATGGAAGGAGAGAAATAATGTGAAAGAATTCATGTAAGTTGGCGGGTTCATTTCACTAAAGTTAATCTAATATTAGTTTTTCTCCAAAGTATCCTTATTAGTATATAGGAAGTAAGGATAACATAGTAAATTTAAATATTTGATTCATTTGAAAATATAAAGTTCATTTTCTAATTCCATCAAAGATAAGGTTGAGACTAAACATGTGATGCAATTGGTACAGATGAACATATCATCAAGCCGAAGACTAACTATTTGGGGTTCTTTCAAAGAAAATAAAACCATAAAGACTAAACGTTGCCCAAATAATGTCGTTTGTCAAGAATAATTTATGTGATCGTTTACTTGACATCTTGTGATAATTAATTAGAAGAACCCTATACCCAAAACCATGATTTTTGAAAGTGAAAAGAACAGAATGAAGTTGAAGCTCAACCAAACAGAAGACTGTGTCAAGGAAACTTAATCTTTTGTATTGGTGTCTGCTCAGTTCTCAAAACCATTCTGCACTACCTAAATATAACTGTAGGGAACATCAAAGAAATAAAAGGAGAAAGCATTAATTTAGAGTTGGGTGGGGTGAAGATTAAAGGAAGACACAGTTTGACGATACTAAGAAAGGTAAGGTGGACCTTCACAATTTAACAATACATGCAACAAAATGAGTATGGGGAAGTTGGAACACGCTCAAGTGAAAGAAGTGGAATACCATTGACTTGTTAACTTAATTAACTACTCTTGTCCCTCGTGGAAACCCAAGTCAATTAACCAACTTTGGAAATCTTGTTTCCTAGAAGCATCCTATTAAAGTTATTGAGAATGCAACAGAGAAGAGAAGACTGACCTTTGATTTTACCTATAAGCAGGAGCCCCTTAAATCCAAAACCTAAAAAAGAAAAAAAATTACTAGCATGATTTCTATTTCATTTATCTCATTTTTATAATTTGATTAAGGAATAACTATTCTATCAACTAAACAAGTTGATAAGAATAAGAGCATTAAACTTGCAGAATTCAGATTTCAGTTTTATTTCTGTTGCAGCTAGCTTGTTCTTCATTCCTTACAAACTAAATGCTGGAATCAAACAGGCAAAACACCAAAATGATAGAATAAAACACACATAAATTATAATTTAGCACACAGAAATCAGAATTCAGATTGTAGTCCTATCTGGTTCCATAGCAAGCTGCAGTTAGCTCTTCTTACAATAGAAGATGCAAACCATACAAGCAGACTTTGATTTGCTATTTGTTATTATCATTGGACCAGCAAGACAGAATCAAGAAGTTGAGTCCTCGAAGTGTGAAGAAGCATACTGAAAATTAAAACAACCCCCCAAGGTGATTTACTCTCTTATTTTCAGAGAAGTAATGCAACATGATTTTGACGTGAAGGCCATTGAGTTGTTAAGATCAAAAAGGATGGAATTTATTGTAGGTGGACCATGTACACATGAATGGACAACTTCGTGATCACCACAAGTAAAGAAAGAATCCAATTAATTTATTGTAAGTAGTAGACTCTGTATATAATGACAACTTGGTGACCACCATAAGTTGGAATTTTCTCCAGATTACTTGTTTCTCCTATAGGTATGTATATTTTCTAAAAGATATTGGATTGTAGAACTTAATAATGTGCACTGAATTCTTCTAAAGGAAAATAAAGAAAAAACAGTGGGAGCATGACGGGACATAAATACCACCACACTCTGTTTTCTATTTTTCCTGATCCAAATTCTACTTTTACACTAACTTAATCTAGCCAAAAAGGAAAATTCCTCTTTTGTAAGTTGTAATAATATCTTGAAGTTAACCTTCCATTCAACGAAGCATAAAGCCAAGTTCATTAGCAGTTCAATCATACTGAATGCTTTTGCTTCCTCGAACCCTTATTCCAATTTTGAAAGTTTTGAAAACCTGAGGCTCGCTCTTTATATTGGTAAAACATTTGATATTTCAGCAATAAGGATTGAGCAACTTTGTGCAGTTTTACAGCCAATATCTCTGTACAACAAAAGACATGACCACCAAAACAGACTTAGGCCCCATTGGTACAGCGGTCTATGAGTAACGGTTAATAGTTTTGTCCAAACTACTAAGAATAGGTATTTGGTAAACTTATTTATTTCAAAACTGCTACAAACTAGGTGTTTGCTAAATCTTTTTATTTAATAGTTTGAGACTAATAGATAGCAGTTAGAGTTCAAATTGCTAACAAATTGAAATAACTACAAATTGCTAACAAATTGAAATAATTACCTAACGTAACTTTTTGTGCCAAACTGCTAACAGATTAAAATTTTTTAATTTTATTAATAAATTTATCCATTTTAATTTTTT